CACAGCACAGAGCCCGCCGGGTGAAGGCACGTTCGGTTCGCTCGGTGGGCGAGACGGGGACCAGAGAGGACACCCCACTTACACGGGGCGACGCCACGGTCAAGGCCAGGGGCAGAAAGCGGTTGTAAAAACACAATTATTTCTGACTCCAGCTGTTTTAAGTCTAATACTTGTCCTTTTGGAAGAAAAAAAAAACAGCCTCTGAGCTGCTATGCTCGTGTGCAGATTTCACCCCGGTGTCACCTGACTTGATATGATGTGGGCTTGGCCATCGGAAAAACTACAGTCCCAGTTTTGCTGAGCGTAACGATTTAGATGGAAACATACAGCGATGGACTACCTGTCTGGATCTGCGGTATGGGCTGTCTGTAGCAGATCCAGACCAAAACAAGCATTTCCGAAGTTGTAAAAACTATTCAGTATGTTTTAGCCTTCGAACTGAACGAGCTGTCTCTGCCAATAAAATGCTTCACGGTCTAGACATATTCCTTTATAGGAATTTCCTTACATAACATGAATGAGAAAGAAGATAGAGAATTGGGTGTAAATAAGTATAGTATTATATAATGGAATACAGAAATATGCACAAGCAATGTATACGTTTCACACTTATGGAATACTTAATAGTTTTATGACTGAAGACGAGCACTGCTGCACCAGGAGTAATACTATTCAGGAGTAATACTATTCTCTAAGCAAGCCATTTCTATGTCTGTGTACAAAACAACTCACTGTCAGACTGACACAGCCATGTCATTTGGTGATGAATTTGTAAGATTAGTAGTGCAGATTGTAGCCGACTTTGCTTCACTGTTGGAAACTCTGGGATCAAATGTACCAAACACTTGAGATATGCTGTAGAGAAATGCCCTGCTGCACTGTTCTCTGCAGAAGGGATGATATGAAGGGGACACTGTACAACATTTTGTGGTGTCATGTTTTACGTAAAGCCCACCAGTGGTTCATCTTGTATCCCTGGCAAGCTGGGCACCATGATTCCTGGCTGCTCTACTGTCTCTGCCTGTGGGCTGGGACACGTACTGGGAGGAAACTGACTCCTGCTACTGCTGTTCCTGCACAAACCCTGTGTTCTCTGCCTCTCCAGATCAACCTGCCCAAAATAAAGTGGAACATTTCAACAAGCCACTACCGAGCTGGGGTAAAATAAAACTGGGGCTCGCTCAAAAGATCAATCCACTCTGAAAGCCACTGTCAGAAGCTCTGCTCTACACAGGCTTAAGGGCCCTTTATCCAAACTGTACCTTCAATCCTTTTTGATGAGCCTACACAAGATGTACATGGAAAAGAACTATGTGCACATTGTCCAGAGCTCCCCGCTACAAATCACAGCAATATTAGTACATATAAGGGCCTTAAAGAGATTAAAACTAGGAGGAGGTCATTTGTAGCACATGTTTCTACGAGAATACCCTGTTACTGACATAGACTGTTAAACCCTTTAATGAGAAAGAATGCTTCAACAGATTCGGTAGCAGTGGCATGTGTGCCCCTGTCTTGTTTGTCTTTACCTGGACATCCAATGCCTTCTGATAGTTCTGGGTTTGTTCAGCTTTCTTCTTTAGAAGCTCCTCTTTCTGGATTGCAAGGCTGAAACGCAACCCACACAAAGCATGTTGAATAAACACACCAAAAAACTATCATGTACACACATTACACATGGACACACATTATAGCCTGCGTCCTAAATGGAAAAGAGCTGAAAAATCACTTCCTGCTTCTCACGGACCCCTCCACAAGGAGTGGGCTTTATCAGACTCATGAAAGCTAACTGGATAAAAGCGATGAGCACATATACTTAAATAACATCCCAGATGTTTGTTTTTTTAACGGTTGATGTGAATACATGTGTACTGAGTTCACAGGTGCTGTCGTGTGGCTTTGTGCATTCCAGTGCGTGTCAGGGCACTGGCGAGGGGAACACAAGCAGGCGAGGAGAGCTGCGGTCCCTCACTCCTCGGCCAGCTGCAGCTGCTGGAGGCGGTCCATGAAGTCCTGGTCCAGCCTGCTCTGGGCCTCCCGGTCCCTCTTCTGGCTGGCCTGTGCACACAGCTCCTGCAGGTAGAGCTGCTGCTTGGGCCAGCGGGGGGGCGTCAGGGGCCTGCTCTGGAAGATGTAGGAGGCCTGAAGGGAGGAAAGGAGAGGACGCGGAACTAAGAGCACATCCCTTTGCGAGTATAAGGCACGGAGCAGAAGGAGGGCAGCACAGTGGAGCAGTGGTAGACATTGCTGTCTCGCAGCACTGGGCCTCTGGGTTTAATTCTGGACGTCCGGTGCCGTCTGCATGGAGTTTGCATGGTCTCTCAGTCTTCATGTGGGTTTCCTCTGGGTGGTCCGGTTCCCTCCCACAGTCCAAAGACATACTGGTAGAGTATGGTTAGGTTAGGTGAGGTTACTGGTTTGGCTTCTGGGAAAACTGGCTTTAGTGTGAGCGTGTGCATGGATACGAGGCAGGGTGCACCCTGGATGGGACGCCAGTCACACAAGACACAAACATGCACACACACACTCACACCGGGACCAATTTTCTCAGAAGCCAATTAATCAACCAACATGACTTATGTGGGAACATGGGAGGAAGCGCCCGGAGGAAACCCATATGAACACCGGGAGAACATACAAACTCCACGCAGACAGCACCCCAGGAAGAGAAGCCAGGGCCCCGGTGCTGTGAGGCAGCAGTGCTAACAAGGTTTCACCTGCCAGGTTTTAGCAATTTCCCTACGTGAAACGCTGTAGGCCTTGCAGTCTTCCTTTCTTTAATGGCCTCAGAGACTCTGCGGTTGAAGGCGGCGAGCTTCTGGTTATGTTCTCGGGTGGCCTGCAGCTGAGCCTGTTGATACACAGAAACTGGATTGGTGACCCCCCTCATGTTGTATAAAACAAAAGAATAAACAGGTAACCCTCAGGACGCCTGACGTTTTGAAACTCATCCCGGGGAATATTCCAAACGGTAAAGGGTTGTGGGAGTCTGGAACAAGCTACCTGGCCAACACCCTGGTTTCTTTCAAGAAATGGCCAGAGGAGATCTACCAGACAGCCCCCTCTCGTCTGTAGGCTTTCTTGCGTTATTTGTTTTATGACATCAGTTTGAGAACACCAACCAGGAGGGTTTGTTAACAGCAGCGGTTCTTTATGAAACGCGAAACATTTTTGTTTGCTTTTTGGTGGCCTGCCTGCTGCTTCTTCAGCTCCTGCTGCTGTGTCTGCTGCTGGTAGAGCAGGAGCAGTCTCTCCTCTTCCTGCTCCTGCCTCCTCCTCTCCTCCGTCAGGTTGACTGGCACGTTGCGCTGGGCCCTCTGCATGCACAGGTAACACAGCTCCTGTGCGACATGACAGCCTGTCAGCAAACCACGCTCTGCCCACCTTCCCCTCACACGCCCAGGCTCACTCCCCGCCAGTCTGCCCAGTGCCCGACCCTTCTACTGGGATCTGGGAATGGAGTCCAGCTCAGAGCACGTCACAATGTTTTTGATTAAAGCACACTGCTCCACAGCAGCTCAGTTTTGTTCGCCCACTTCGAAAGCCTTCGGGCAGCGCCTACAGTGCCTCTTCACAAGCGTGGTCATCA